TATTCTTATAAAAATCTTTTATTTCATTCTTATGTTTCTTTTTTTTTCATCGTATAGTTCCATATTCACCACCCGAAGATTTTATTATTAAAACTGTTGATAGTAAGTAGAAGAATGAAGTTATATTCTTTTAAGAAAAAAATGGGTTTTAATTTAAGCATGGACTCCAACTGATGCTGATCGAATTCATCTTGAACCAACACAAGGTCGTCGAAATAGTCATGGTCGTTCTGAAACACGTTATAAAAATGGTTCATTTCGTCAAGTATTAAAATGGGATCGTTCGTTAGGTCAATATGGTGATGGAAATAATGCATTTCGTGAACCAAATAGTGTTGCATGGCTTGAATCTAGCAAAATAGCTGTTGTTGATACAAATGCTCATTGTATTAAAGTCTTTCATAGTGAAACAGGTCAATTCGAATATTCATTTGGTCGTGGACGAACATTAGGTTGTCAAAATTTACTTTATCCATATCGTATAGCTGTTGTACCAGGTGGAAATGATGAATTAGTTGTTATTCAACGTCATCCACGTCCACAAATTCATGTCTTTAGTTGTTCAGGAGAATTTATTCGTCGATTTGGTCAACATTTAGAAAAACCACGTGCATTAACTGTTGATCAATCACATCGTATTATTGTTATTGAATCACAAGTACAAAAATTACATATATTTTCATTAGATGGAAAAATTCTTTCATTCTTTCATTTAAATGAACATTTACAATTTCCAACATCGATTTGTTCAAATAATTATGAAATATTTATATCTGATAATCATCTTCATACAATTAAAGTATTTTCATATAGTGGACAATTGATACGTGAAATCAAAGAAGCAAATTATATAACATATCCAACAAATATTAAATTAAATTCGAAAGGACAATTAATAACAATTGATAATCATCAAGGTTTAAATATAACTGTTTATGATGAATATGAACAAAAGAAACGTTTAGGTGCATATACAGCTCGAATCTGTCATTCACAAATTCTTGATGTTGCAATAGAATCAAATTCAAATATTCTTCATTTAGCATCAAAAGATTATCGAGTTTATACATATCAACTTCCATTGTAAATATTTCAATATTTAAAAATAATGAATTTAAATTTCGATGTAGTTTTCTTCCTTTTTTTTTGTCGTTTATATATTGAGTTATGTTTTTCTTATTAATTTTTTTTTCGAAATTCGAAGTTTACCTTTTTTTTTGCATTTAATTATTTTGTAAATCCGTATGTCGGTGCAAAGTTTTTTTTTTCGTATCCGAAAGATGATGTAGTATATAGAGAATGCGTTAATTTAATAATAAAAAAAAATGTTTAATAAAGTTTATTCAAAAAATAAAGATACATTAAAATAACACCTCTTTATTCTGAACAGTGAACATTGTCACCTCTTTAATATGAACATATATATAATGTTTTTTTGACCCCATTCTACTTCTGTCATATATTTTGATGAGCTTTCGAATTCGAATATAAATGGTGAAATTTAGGAATAGATCCAGTTTTAGTTTTACTCTAAGATTTATATATACGACCAAGGGGCAGGTGAGGGGGATTTACCTGAAAACTATTTCTGGACTAAATCTATTCCTAGAAATAGGCAGTGGTGTAAATAGGAGGGAGAGAGCGCGGCGCCCCCTCCCCTGCTTCCGAAAACTAATAGGAAAAAAAGAGGTTTACACCCCCTGCTTCTAGAAAGTTCACTTTTTTTGACCATTGAAATAGAAAAACTAGGGTTCGCCCCCTGTGCTCTGACACCTGACTTACGCCCCTGGAAATAGGTATTAGTTTTTCTTTTTTTAATATCCGTTTATATTCGAACTCGTATTAGGCAGCTATACGCTCATAGATTCATATAAATGATTTTGTTTTGTATTTGTGCGACATCTATTTTGTATAAGTTACGATTAGTCAATGTCATGACTATTGTAAAATAAAATGATCGACTATCATTCGTTCGTTTATGAAACAAGTATGAAAGAAGAACAAATGTAACCGAAGCAAGCAAATTATGATTGACTATGAAGTTGAATATATATTCTATTACATATTCTCGTCAATTTTTTCGTCTTTTAGATCATTTTTATCATGTAGTATGAATTAGTTTATCTCATAAAAGTAACGTCCAATGATGATGAATCAAATACCACAACAACAACAACAACAAACAAGTATATTTTAAACTATACTATCGTAATAAAATAACTTTTTTTTCATAGTGTATATGTCAAATCCAGGTATGGTTGATAATCAAATGATGTCAACTTCATCAAATCCATCATCAACATCTATGGCAATGAATACTTCTCAATCAACATTATTTAATCATCAAATAAGTGCATATAAATATCTTATACGTAATCAACCTGTACCCGAACAAATTCTTATGATTATAAAACGACATCATCAACAATTCTATCCACCAAATGCTGTTATATCAAAACAACCATCAAGTTTATCACCAAATCCATCACAAATGATGGATTCACGTTATAAACCACCAATAAATAATAATCTCGGTCCACGTTATTATCCACCTGTACAAGTAAATGGTACAACAAATGGATCTATTCAAATTCCATTAATCACAGACAATCTAACAAATTCAAATCCATCATCATCAACACCAAATCGTTTAAATAATCTTCGTATAACATCAATATCAAAACCAATTGGTATTGATATCCAAGAAGTTATTACTGAACGTGATAGTCGTATACAAAATAATATTTTAATACGAATCAATGAACTTGAAAAGAGTTTACAAACAATAACACAAGAACATATTCGTACAAGAATTATGATTGAACTTAAAGCACTTAAATTATTAAATTTTCAACGACAAGTTCGATCAGAAATAGTAACATGTATGCGTTTAGATACTACACTTGAAACAGGTACAAATGCACGATTCTATAAACGTCCAAAACAATTTGGTTTACGTGATGCACGTGCAACAGAAAAATTAGAAAAAACACAAAAAGCTGAAATTGATCGTAAACGTCGACAAAAACATCAAGAATATTTAACGGCTGTATTAAATGCTGCACGAGAATTTAAAGAATATCATAAAGCAATACAATTAAAAACAAATAAATTAGGACGATCAATTGTATCATGGCATCAAAATACGGAACGTGAACAAAAGAAAGAACAAGAAAAACGTGAACGTGAACGTATGCGTCGTTTGATGAATGAAGATGAAGATGGTTATAGGAAATTAATTGATGAAAAAAAAGATAAACGTTTAGCTTATTTATTATCACAAACAGATGCATATATAATAAGTTTAGTTAATCTTGTTAAAGAACATCAAAATGATTTAAAAAAGAAGAAAGCAGACAAAAAACCACCAAATTTTTCTAATGATGAAAAAGATTATTTACATGTTAGAGTTAAAAATATGACAACTGGGGAGATTAGAGATGGACAAGATGCACCATTAGAATCTGAACTTGATGTATGGTTAGAAAAAAATCCGGGTTGGCAAGTTTTACCCAAAGAAAATAGTGATGATGAAGAAGATGATACATCACGTTTACCAGAACCAACTACTCTAACAATACCAGCACCAACAGCTGATGAACAAGAAAAAGGTATTGTTGAAGATGAAACAATTGTTAAAGAAGTTTTAACAAAAGCTAAACAAGCAACAGAAGATGATGAATATCATACAGCATCATTAGATTCCTATTATGCTGTTGCACATCGAGTTAGAGAACGTGTTACAAAACAATCCGAACTTCTTGTTGGAGGAAAACTGAAACCTTATCAAATACAAGGTCTTGAATGGCTTGTTTCACTATATAATAATCATCTTAATGGTATTCTTGCTGATGAAATGGGTCTTGGAAAGGTATTGACATTCGTATCAGAAATAATAAATAAATATTTCTATTTAGACAATTCAAACAATTGCACTTATTACTTATTTAATGGAAGTAAAAAAAGTCAATGGACCTTATTTAATTATTGTACCATTATCGTAAGTTAATATTATTATAAAATTTTATTTTATCTTTTATTCTTTTCTTAGTACATTAGCTAATTGGGTTAATGAATTTGAAAAATGGTCACCTGGTGTTCAAACAATTATCTTTAAAGGTAATCCACAAGTACGTAAAAATCTTGGTTATCAATTACGAAATGGTAAATTTAACGTACTATTAACAACTTATGAATATGTCATCAAAGATAAAGCACTCTTAGCTAAAATCAAATGGCGTTATATGATTATAGAGTTCGTATAAATTTGTTTTTTTCATTTATTTTTGAAATATTTTGCTTCTTTTTGGTTTCTAGTGAAGGTCATCGTATGAAAAATCATCATTGTAAATTAACTCAAATCCTTAATACATATTATATAGCTCCACATCGTTTATTATTAACTGGTACACCATTACAAAATAAATTACCCGAATTATGGGCATTATTAAATTTTCTTTTACCATCCATATTTAAATCATGTACAACATTTGAACAATGGTTTAATGCACCATTTGCTACAACATTGGAAAAAGTTGAACTTAATCCAGAAGAAACATTACTTATTATAAGACGTTTACATAAAGTTTTACGACCATTTCTTTTACGTCGTCTCAAAAAAGAAGTCGAATCACAATTACCAGATAAAGTAAAACTATGAACAAAAAACAAACAAACTATAAAATCAGAAATATTTTCTTTAGATTGAATATGTTATTAAGTGTGATATGTCAGCATTACAAAGAGTTATGTATAATCATATGCAGACAAGTGGTATTGTTCTTACAGAAGATAAAGTAAGAATTATTTTATTCTCTTTCTCGTAGAGAAGAGATAAATTGTTTGCTTGATTGAATGTCCGCAGGGTCAAAAAAACATCGAAAATCGATTTTTCGAGGTATCTTGATGAGGAAACTTCAAATCTGAGGTCCCTCAAGTGACCATGTGGAGGGGAATGGGTCAAAGGTCAAAAAAACATCGAAAATCAATTTTTCACGGTTTTTCCAGTAAATGTGAGGAAAATGCATTTCTACGAGAAAGGGCTAAGCGAGTCCTCGGACGAGCGTTATTTGTAATATATCATCTGCAGTTTCTTTTTGTTGCATATTATCTAAATCGAAATGTTATTTTAGAATGGTAAAAGTGGTAATCCAAAAGCATTAATGAATACTATAATGCAATTACGTAAAATCTGTAATCATCCATTTATGTTCAATGAATTAGAAGAAAGAATTGGTGCACATTTAAGTTATACTAATGGTGTTTGTAATGGGTATAAACAAACTAATTATTAATTATGAAACAAAAAAAAATTGAATTTTTAATTGTAGATCTGATCTTTATCGTGCATCAGGTAAATTTGAATTACTTGATCGGATATTACCGAAATTAAAAGCAACAAATCATCGTATTTTACTTTTTTGTCAAATGACAACATTAATGACAATCATGGAAGATTATTTTACTTATAAAAGTAATTCAGAAAAAAATTATTTTTAAATATTTATTTATTTCTTTTTCTATAGATTATACATATTTACGTCTCGATGGTCAAACGAAATCTGAAGAACGTGGTGATTTATTAGCAAAATTTAGTGAAAAGAATTCTGATATATTCATTTTCTTATTATCAACACGTGCTGGTGGACTTGGTTTGAATTTACAAACAGCCGATACTGTTATTATATTTGACTCCGATTGGAATCCACATCAAGTAAATAAATTGATTTTTGTTTTTATAAATATATTTTCTTCTTCGTAAGGATTTACAAGCACAAGATCGTGCACATCGTATAGGACAAGTTAATGAAGTTCGTGTACTTCGTTTAATGACAGTTAATAGTGTTGAAGAAAAAATCTTAGCTGCTGCTCGTTATAAATTAAATGTTGATGAAAAAGTTATTCAAGCTGGCATGTTTAATAATAAATCAACAGGCAATGAACGAAAACAATTTTTACAACAAATTCTTTTACAAGAAACAGAAGAAGGTGAAGAAGGCGAAGAAGATGAAGTACCAGACGATGAAATTATTAATCAAATGATTGCACGATCTGAAGATGAATATAATTTATTTAATGTTAGTTTTT